TTACTCCCAATTTCTATATTTTTTTCTAGTTTCTACGGCACAAGTTGCACGGTGTGAATACTTGAGTTATCTTATAATGTAAAATGATCGGGCAACTAAAGTATGTAATGTTACGCGAGGTCTATAATAGAAGTCGTAGTCGTAGGTTTCAAATCGTAGAAAATTGACATTCATAGTTGAATATAAAAGGAATAATCAAGTATGATCGATCAATTTTCCACAACTTAAAACTCTACGACTGTTACGACTTTTATTGTAGATCCTACATTATAGTATATGTGACGTACTAATTTTAGAAAAATTGGAAATGCGTTGTTCTTTTTTTTAATGATAGGTGACTAGTGTTTTTGAAGAGATCTGTGTCGAATTTCTATGCAAAACAGATTTTCCATTAAAATTTAATTCAAATATAATACTTTTTTCCTATCTATTTTGGCACAGATTTTCTATTATGATCCGTTTCTTCTCTTTGCTTTATTTATCTTTTAACAAATAAATTGAAAATGTAGAATGACTTGTTTGCATAGATTCCTAGCATTCATACATATTATTTATGTAAAATATATATAATATATAAACTCTGCATGATATAAATTATATTATATATGTGCGTTTGAAAGTATTTAAAAAATCTGCATTTTATACTCGTACTTGAAACGTATTTATCAACAAAACCTGATAACAAGTTACAAATAAAATTTACGATAATTAAGTGGAAATTTGTTTCTTACAGCCACTATATTTAATAGAAATACATTGAAACAAATTTACCAAATCTTAATATATATTTTTTTCTTACAGTAAATTAATATTTATTTAGAACTTTTAAACAAATATTTATTAAAATTTAGTATATTTTTCAATGTAATGTATGAAAAACAAAATCGCACGTTTAATCGTCCAATATTTTGCTAGACTAAGAGTTAATAAAATAAGAAGAAAGGATTACTGAACTTTATGTAAGTACGTAAAGAAAAGTAAGTTTACGATTAGAAACAGCGATCAAATTGAAAGAAGTTGGAGGAACTAAAAAAACAGGCTAGGATAAATGAGACTTTACATGTAGAAATATTCTTTCGCTCTTATCAATTTTTGAAATACATAAATATTTTTAATAAATAAATATATTAATACATATGCACAGAATAAATATATATCAACTTTTTCGGTCGTTTTGTATATTTTTCATAAATGTCACTAATATTAAATTGTATATTAATTTAATAATGTGTGAAATTTCATTTCCAGTTGTTTTTTTTGATATAAGATTACATTTCAAAATAAAATGACATATGAAAGATAAATATATATACATCATTTATTATTAGTATTAACATGGATTCTCACTTAACTTTTTGTTCACGCGCGTAGAGTGATCAGGACTTTTCCGTCTTATAAATTCGCTAAATATGAATGCTGTATTTATACATATTATTAATTTAGTGCAAATTATTTTACAATTAAATTTGCATTTATCTTTACCTAAGAGATGTATAGAATATTATAAATTTTACTTAACTATAAATTATCAAGGATATATAACATAGAATAGGAAACATTAACAAATATGGATTGTAATGCATATAGCATGTAAAGGAGAAATTTCCATTCCCATGCCAAAATAATTATTTAATAAATCGTTCAATTTAATTTAAAGTTGCACGGAGATTCTACTCAGAATTACCGAATAGCATCTTGTAGTATATCACGAATTCCAAACGTCATTCGGTAGTTCTGAGCATCTTATAGAGTCAGGATAACATTTGAAACTAATAGAAATTAAATTTTGAGTTGCAATAACTTGCGGAAAAACGTAAATATATGAAGAATTCGAAAGATCGAGTGCCAATCTGTATGTTGCTTAAATGACACGTTATTGCAGGCACGTTCATTCACTCAATCAGTGGACATATACACAAAGTACAGGCTGGTGGACCATGTCATGCAAATAATGAGGACGTAATTTGATTCACATTTGAGCATCAAATTACCGTGATAACTCTATTACGATTGTATAATCTCCCCATCATGTCGGAAAACAACCCGGGAGATATCGTGGTTTATTATAAACTTTAGGCTTTCCAAAATTAGATTTCAGCGATCATTGTATTCGATTAAAAGTAAAAATTCTACGTTATGTGAATAGAATCGGACTCTCTTACTTGCCACATGGTCTGATTTGATAAGATTTCTTCTACTGTGATATTTCAAAACAGTTGCACACATTTTGTAAAGCTAATCAAAATAATTGTGATGATAACACTGATTATTTCTTAAGTATTCTTATTAATTAAAATATTAAATAATTGAAAATTATATTATTATATTAAATGCATTTATCATTGAAATATTTTCAGTATTATATATAATTAATATTTATTAATATAATTATAAAGTCTGTTTTTTAATTTAAATATAAGATATCTCGATGTCGCAATTAATATTTATTAATTAATATTTTGTACATTGATATTCTAATCAATCGCGTCACTTGCATATTAATTAAATAATTATATATCATACATTTGCATTATGCGTTTCATTAACAATTCTTAAAACAACGGATTTTAATTGTTACGTAATGGATAAAAAATATCATATCATTTGGTATTCTCTACGTAATTTATTATTTAATATTTAGTTTAAATTATAACATGAAATATTTCTTCTTTTTAGAGATTGTTTAATTAAATTTTATTATTAGCGAAAATAAAGATGTATTTTTAATCTTAGCATTTCTATATTGTAAAAATTGTTATTATCTACATAAAAAAAGAAGTTAATATTTTTTTACTCAATTTGTTCTTTTTTATTTTGATATATTACGGAATCTCTAATATACAATAACTGTAACAAAAACATAAAAGAAACAATTATAATTGTATACATAAAATTTTAATTACTATTTTCCGATTTTGCAATTTTTCTGTTTTCTAAAAAAAAAGGATTATCTTACATTTTCTAATTTACTCTCTTTTGTAAATTTAAAATTAATATTTCCTGAATATAAAAAATAAGAAAATATAAAATTTTTTTGAGAAAAACTTCAATTAAAAAAAAGAAATCCAGAATGATTAAATGTATTGTGCTTATTCTATCGATCCCATTTGTAGGTCCCATTTGTAGAGGTCTCTTTTAATGTTCACGTTGTCTACTAATTGTCCAAGTTGCCTAACGAACAGTCACACAGCTTGTCGAACAGTACTTACTTTGATAACGAGACACCTAATCCTCTTTGACCACTGTACCAATCACTGTTTAGACATTAATTAAAAATCCACGTGACGAATCTTGGATACTAGTACAATACTGGAAAGAAAAGACAGTAATAAAGGGAACGAGACTGAAATCACGACGTAGAATCGAGTCGCCAGTCGACTCGCAGCATGTAATTGAAAAGCAGGACGGCAGCCCTAAATTACGAGCGGCAAATTAAGACCCTTGGTGTTAATGGACCTGGACGATGACGACAACGAGGACAACCATGACAACGTCTACATTTCACAAAAACATTTATTATTTTGTAATGCGCTAACGTCAATTTGTTTAATAAAAAATAGTTAATAATAAAGGAATTTCATGTAGTTGTTAGGAATAATACATTTTGAAAATTATTATTATCTCAAAAACTTAAAAACAGAAAAAAAGGTTACATAAAACATAAAGTAAAGAAACTAAAAAAAAAAAAACAATATAATATTTCTTTTACATGATATTTTAAATTTATATAATAAAAATATGTCTTATGTATTTATCGTATCTATAAATATTTAAAAAGAACATAAATGTTTTTAACTTATAAAATGTTCTGCCCTAATAAAATTTCAATCTTACACCATGGCTAAAAAAATTAATTTATTCTTTACTTTTGTCTTTTTTCTATATATTTTTTTTAATGTTAAATAATTGTTGTCTATTGGCATAATAAAAAGATAGAAGTTGTAAAAGTTTAAGCTACGGACACGTCAATGCGACTAGACGATACTTTATACATGGTGAGAAATGTCTGCGTACTAGAATTGTAATTTAGTAAGGTGATAGCTCTCTTGGGGATGCGTGCTTTGACGCGAATTGAAGGATCAGAGAAGAGACTTATTGTTAGAGAGAGAGACTGAACGACCGGATGTTAACACAGCAAGCAATTCGTGCACAAAGTAGTTCTTCTCACCTGCCATCGGTTACTACGACCGGAACTTATAACTTCTTCTTGTGAATCATCATGTGATAAATAGCAGAAAATAAAAGCCAATAAAAGAACTTGCTCCTTGAATCGGGTGGACTTCAAAAAATAAAAAAAGTATTACGCAAAAGACATAAGTTTACCCGCACAATTTTCTTTTCTTCCTGGTTTCATGGCTTTATAAGTCGCTATACTATCATCTTCGATTAACTTTATCAATCAAATAAATTTTAAAACTGCCAATCGCAAAACTGAAGACTGACCATCTCTATCTTAATTATTTTGTAATTAAACGTTCTATTTAATTATTAATTATTTTATATAAATAAATTTTAATGTGCAAAAATTATCAAGAAAAACAAAATAATATCATATGAAGTTTTTAAGCTATGCAGCTAGCAACTCTTACAATTAGATTCTAATTTTAATCACAATTTAATTTACTCTTTATCTTTTTCTAATTCTAAGAATTAAAAAAAAAGATAAACAGTAGATAAAGTTAACTGAAGATGATGAAACTAGCGTTACGTTTAGAATCTGCAATTTGTCCATCTGTACCAAACTTTTTCTTCAAAGTCTTATCTCAACGTAAACGCGGCGCAAAAACTCGAGATAAAAGTCTATCACGACGCGAAAAAATGTGCAGCCTAAATATAAGTCATTATGCAATTTAATTCGAGGAACGAATGTTATGAACTTATTATAAAAATAAGGAAAGTAATGATATTTTGGCTTTTTTCAACAAAATCTGATTTATTGTTGGTAATAAACACTTTACCGATTTGTCGTCAACTGCAAGCGTTTCAATAATGTGTTTCAGATGAACGTTAGTAATTTACATTCTTCCTGCACGATGATACTGCTTGGTATCTTGGCGTCGACGACGATAATCGGACTCACAAATTCCGCTCCTCTGTCGTCATACGAAAGAAGGGACGTGTCAGACGAGCATCCTAAAATTTTCCTGTTGATCGATCAAAGAATACCAGAATTGGAGGTACGTTCTTTCTCGAATAAAATAATACGATAAATCTGTATATAGAAATATTGTGAAACAAAAAAATAAAGCAATCTAAAAATAACTTTAATCTGAATAATGAGAATTATACGCCTCTTCCATTCTCCTGTCTTATGCGTTTTATAAGTACATAGAAAATTGAGAAGTATAAAAACAACAGTACAGAAACATAAGCATCTTAAATTAATAAAATATACTATACACGAATAAGAAAAACACTTTTTTATCATTTTTTCTTGTTTAGATTAAATGCTAGGAATTTTGTAATTAATAAAAAGGCATTAAACCTTTCAAATTATTCGTCATACTTTTGTTCAGAGCCTGATAACATCATATTAATTTATTTTTATTCTATTATTCTTTCTTTCTTTTCTTTTATTTATTATTTTTCTGTTTTTTAATTTTAATTTTTATTCTTTTTTATTTATTTTTATTCCTTATCGGAATTATCATCTTATCCTCCCCTATTTGCATCTATGCAAATTCATAACATTTAAGGATGTAAGTGGAAGAAAAAAAAGATACGTCGCGATAAGGCAGCATTATTAATAATCTGTCAATAATAAGTTCTAAGCGCATGAGAAGTCGTGCGGAAATCGCGTTCGCCGCGCAACAGAATAACGTATTTTAAATATACCGATTGTGTCAAGCAACAAACGTCGACACGTGTTTCATCGGATCGCTTAGTTTACGAGCGCTTTGCATTTTGAATAGTTAAGTGTGCATTACGATCGACTGGTATCTGCGCGTATAACACATACTTACGCGCGACGGGATGCAACACGGAATGCAACAGGATGCAACGGGATGCAGGCATATGAGGGACGAGCTTCGCGGTTTAGTATCGGAAAAGGACAGAAAGTGACGTAAACGTTACGTTATAAGGATGAATCAGGAGCGCGTGAGTCATGAATGAAAACGTCTCTGTCTGGTTTCTCTGCACATGGAAGGTCCCACGTCGTGTTATTTGCATGCCTCCTTTATTACCCGTGCAGCTGTGCGGCTACCGTCTTACGAAGCGGACAGATCGACACGCAAGCCTCTAAAGCATTCCTTTATTCGTAATTTTCTTCATGCATATATTCTTTGCTCCAATAAAAATTCAAAATACTGAATATATTTATTCTTAATATTGAACAATAAGAATACATAATACCGAAATATTGAATTGAAACAAAAATTCGTAGCGCTATACATTTCAAAATTCAAGTAGCTACAGCTTCGTTAAAAATGAACAAAATTTAAATTTAAAAAGATTTTAAAGCTATAAATTTACACTTTTGAAAGATTACTATGTTTTTTGAGTTTTTGTGAATTTAGTAATTTTAGAAAACTACAAGCTAGATAAAATAATATTTTGTCTCACCTTATGAACCTATCACGTGCCGAAAAAAAACAAAAATTTTTTAACATAAAATGTAAAAGAAATTATTCGATATAATGACGATATAATGACATTATCCGAACAATTAGTTTCGTGACTGTAGATATTTCTTATTAGGAAGATGTGTCGCAATATTTTTCGTATCTACAAGAATAAATCTGTCACTTTTTCGAGATCATCTTCGAGAAACCTATCTGAGGCGTAAAAAAATTATATACGCGATAATGCAATCTTGCGATAACAGAAGAAATTATCTTTATTCATGGATAAATTATATGCTACTCAGTTACTTTCGTATATATATATAACACAATTCTTTTCATTTATCCTCAAAGTCTGACATTTTAAAAGAGAATTTTTCGACTTTCAGAATCGCTGTTTTTCTTTACATTAATACCGGGAAATTTCTCGAAACATTTTTGTAAACAAATACAGCTCATACGTAGTATTCTTTGGTAAAAGGTTCACTTGCTACTTTGAAACATTACAAAAACGATAGATAAAAGAATTTGCAGCATGCATTCCAGAATTTTTTATTCGCTCCAAGGCATGCTGTGTAAAAGTAACAACGACGACCTGGTGATGGCAGATACCTTTATTATTCATGTACATTCATTATTTGCTCTTCGTCCGACTCTGTAAATATGCATTTTCCGGTTCGGTACATTGTGCAGTATAAGGTGAAAGTTCTTTTGCGAGCTTTCGCTCGAGGGATTGCACTTTTAGCTGCCACTACCTATGCATGGTGCAAATTTGCAATTACTGCGACGATTGCATAAGCCGATCTGTGAGTTACGTGATAAAAAGGAAGAGAGAAATTTAAAGGAATCGTTGCGAAAACACATAATAGAATATACGACCGTAAAGTCTTCATATGAACTGGGGAAGCATAAAGCACGACGTAAAAGCGTGGTAAAATAAAAATATCTACTACATCCCTGAATATCCCAGAAAGACGTCGTACAGTAAATTGTAACTATGCGTAGAAGCACATCAATTTCGAATTACCACTTGTGTATTCACGAAGATGTTATCTCGCTTAAATCCATTCTTTGTTACAATTGAAAATGACTCCATCGTTACAGAACTTTAGTTGTCAAATTAATTATCAAGGTATTTAATGCCAGAAATGTTAATGTTAAACGTCTTAATGTTCTCAAATATGATTGTATACATAATATACACATTTTTACAAAAATTATTTAAATTTAATTTTAATCGTATCTATACATATATTTATATAATTTAATGTATATATGTACAGAATTTTTGTGATTTATCATCATAAATGTTACTATATCTAGTAATTAATTTTTTCAAAATTTCATATAACATTCAACAGAGAAATATTAGATTTGAAAAATTAAATTCGTAAAATATTTGATTTTGCAATAAATTTGATAAAATTAGAACGCATAAGCTTGTCAGCGCTATTATCTAACTACAGTAATGTAATGAAATAGCTGATAACGTTTTGTCGTAGATAGTTGATGTTCACGCAACAATATAAGATGGAATGTTCGTAAAAATCTGTGCCTACTACAATCTGATCGTATTATTTAAAACGGGATAAAATTCTCTCAGATTTTTATACATGGTTTTAAAAATCTTCTTTATCAAAATATGTGTTTATTTAAATATATTTTCAAAGAATTATACTAACAATATAATATCTATGATGAGACTACTACAAATTCATAACGCATAAAATAAAAACATGTCTTCTCATGTGATTATAATTTATTTTGATAACGAAAAATAGATAATCTCTTTACGAACAATCAATTTATCGGTAGAATGTTCCTCGTTCCATTAGTATTATAAGGATTAATGCAACAATGTTTGTCACGTTGAATAGGACGAGATGTTGAATTCGGAAAACGATCTTGGGTCAGACGTAATGCGCACCAAGAGGATCGGATCTCTATCGATTGTGAATAATTTGGACGTGCTGAGGCAGAGAGTCCTGCTTGAGCTGGCTCGCAGAAAGGCATTGCAGGACCAACGGCAGGTTGACGAGAATCGTCGTTTCCTCGAGAGTATTGGCAAGAGATCAGTATCGAACGCCGGCAGAATCATGAGATCCGATACGAAGAATAACGGACGGTCTGTAGCATCCGACAGGAATGAATGGATCCGAGAAAACAATCCCTTGTTCCACGAATCGCAAGACGATCGAACGGTGAGAGAATACATTTTCTTTTATTTTATCTTATGAGCTTTTTCTATAAGCCATACTTAAGCTTTTAAGTTTTTTAAGCTATAAAAAATTGGTCAATTATAAGCGTGGATTATTCTTCTGATATTCGATTGTGATTGGTCAATTTTTTACGGTTTAAGACTTTTAAGTTTAAATAATGGTTTTGGAGAAAGCCTATAAGAGATTTGTTCTGGGACAATAATTCGCGTTAAATAATTTCCATTATGCATTCACTCCTCATTATTGTAATCATAATTTTTTAGAAAGTAAGCAAAGAAACATACAATTAATTTTACGCAAAAAGTTTAGTGGCATTAATTGGAATCATGGTAGATTCAACCAGAAAGATACAAAAATTAGACACTACTACAGTCAAATCTATCAAATATTCTGATCGCGATAATAATTTAATTGATAATTAGAATTTTGATTAATATGACAAATATTCCATTTTGCTTGTATTTTTCTACAACCAGAACATTTTTCTCACATCAATTCCCGCGCTTGACTCTTGCTTTCTTTATTAGCTATTTTGAGTGTTAAGAATTCTTACTTTATTTAATTAAAATTGTACACATTAATATAGTAATAATTTTAATCTTTCAGGTACAAGCTAATGAACTTCGCCTGTTGTAATCGCGTCTTGGCATGCGAAGAACTCCAGAAGAACCGATATATCCTTAACTTTACTATATGCGACTTTTAATCAATCGCCATTAAGTTATTTTGTTAACTGTCCGCTTGCCTATCTTCGTTTAGCAGACAGTCTAAATTCCGCCAGCCGTGACTGGCAATATAAATGTTAAAAATTGCTGAATTTTACAATCGACAACAAATGCGGGCCTGCTGCTATCCTTCTCCTTCTAATGAATTGAGAAACATTTCGCACAGTATTCACTTCCCTTTTCAACTCTCCGTTAATTTTAATTTATTTTTGTTAATTTATTTTAGTTAGGTATAATAAATCAATGTAATAACCCTGTGTCACGTAAGCTGGCAGAAATGGGAATCGAGATTGTGCATCGTTCGGAGATGCGATTGATTCAATGCACGACAGGCTCGACTGGCGCGCATAACGTTCCAAAGAAACGTACAAAGATCTGAGCTTTGCGTAAAGCTTTACTTCCGTCTTCTTCCGCATCCAATTCTCTCCGGAGACGAAGAAAGGCATAACGAAGCAGTATTATATATTGTGATCTCATTTAAGCTATATTTTTTGTTTTTCGCAGAGAATACCTGACACCTGATCCTATAGCGTGTATTTTAATTCTCGCGTCTCCATTGCGCTTTTGTCGATATTCCTAGAGGACGATGTAACGAATACACTAGTCGGTTGCACTTACAATTTCACTCTCGCCAACTATAAATGTACAAATACCTTGTTGTATTGATAGTTATTGCCTCTCGCGTACATCGGCGTCGATCGTCGGACGAGAGGCACTCATATGTGTGTACCTGCAGTCTATAATTCTGAGGAAAATCTATTTTCTGTATAGTATGCACTAAAGAGACTAATTCACGAATGTAAGGAAATCGAAAAACCTGTAAAAGGATCCGGAGATCAGATATACTGTTAATATTATATAAGAAAGACTATTATAATACATGATAAGATTTTCATTGATAAAAGTACAAGATTGTACCCCAAACATTATAATTTAGAATAGTTTTACACCACTTACACCTTGTTTTTATTTCCCCTTAATATTAATATTGATTATTGAAATGATTGTTTCGTATCAACTCGCAGTTATGTATTTATTCTTGTGCCATTATAGAAGTACAAAAACAGCGATTATCAATTGTCTGAAAATAAAATGTCTAACAGAACGCATAAGATTGGAAGTTTCACAAAGCATGCGATAAATAAAACGTGTGTATGCATTATTAAAATAATTATTTAATATCCATTTGACCGTACCATAAGAATATTTCCACTTATAATTGCCTTAAAGCATTTTATTAAATGTAATTTCAAAAAATATAGGAAATTGGAGAATTTAGTTCTATAATTTCCTATACACACACATATATAAGTATTTTAGTATATTCACTCAATGTTTTTCAAGGACGGATTACATTGTACAAATCTTAGAGTCATTAACGGTAAAAAGTATTTTGAAAAAAGTACATAATATGTGAATTCATATATATATTTCAGAATCCTTTTTATTGTCGAAGATTTTAAGTTTCATATATTTTATCACTAAAGTATGAAAAATATATTAAAATACGTATATGTGTAAGTTACATAGATTTTGTGTAGCTATAGAAATAATTATTTATCTAAAAAAATGTATAATATATAATCAAAATAAATAAATCAAAATATATGAAACAAAATTTAATTTTCCAGTGTATGAATCACTTGCTATTATTTCATTATGATTTTAAGACGGTAGTAACTGATAAAACATTCAAAATTATATGATATATAATTAGTAATATAACAAATTTCGTTTAAAGCCAATAATAGACATATTTTTCTATGTTTCTATAAATTATAAAAAATATGTTATGATGAATAATAAATAAATACTAATATCATTTTTTCAATCATAATCATGGTATTTCTTTAAAAAAAGGTTCAGTTTTTTATTCATTGTCGATGTTTACATATTATTTAATACTATCACAGTTACAATTCTAATTGTGTGATTATAATTACAACAGAAGTATTTTCTTTCGAAGTTAATTTTTTATATTTCAGTCACTTTTAATGAATAAAGATAGCAATCTATTTCTTTATAAATATAATTTGTTAAATATGCTGTACAGTGTTTGTGTCGCGGCCAAAAATACTGTTAATATAGTTTTTTCATGCATTTCTGAAATATTAATGGAAGTATACGAAAAATATTGTATTTTTTAAACTTTTATCGGCGTTTGCGTGAAATTATCTGCGCTTGACTTCTAGTGTCTTTTTCTTTCCAAGTTTGTTTTTGAATTGTACAGGAGTTTTTGTTATCTAAGAATTATTGAAAGTTTTTAATTTGATTTAAAAAAATATTAAATAATTTATCATTTTTAAAGAAACTGTTTGCTTGCAAAAAAATTATATAATAAGTAACGTAATTCACGTATAACATAAATGTATTTAAGGGAAAATTGAAACAATATAAATATATTCACGGAGAAAGATTAAAAATAGAATATTTTTTAAAAAAGAGCTTGTTTACAGAACTTAGTATAAATCTTAATTAAAACCTAAATTATTAATATTGTTATAATAAAATTATGAAAATCTTATTAAACAACATAGACAATATCTTTTAAAGTATATAAAGAACATAAATAAATATTAAAGATATGAAATACACATATTTTAAAGAAATATAGCAAAATTATAGTACACATAATTCCACTATTTACTTTAGTGTATGTATTGTCATATGCAGGGAATGGAAAGTTAGTTTTTAAAAGTAACAAGTTACAGTTACTCGTTACAGAGTAAAAAAAGTAACTCGTTACAGTTTCCGTTACTTGAAAGATAATTTTTCGTTACTTTTTAAAAATCAGTCTGAAAATGTACTTTTGCAGTATTTTTTGTTCAAATGTTAATAAAAGCAATATATATATATAGTATGTATAACACTGACACTATGTATAGTTCTATTTTTTAATTTTTTTTTTTTAACACAATTTCGTAATTCTGTAAAATAAAAAAAACCTGTAAAATATACAGCAAACTGATATACATATCCAATGTATCACATAGAAGATAGAAGTGCAAAATAATTCCTGAAATAATGGTACTGTATATACTTCTCAGCTGTCAAAGATTACTTCAGGATCACTGCAGTAGTTGACAGCTAAGATATTTCAAAAATTTTTTTATACTTTGTAAAAAACTAGAAGATTATATAGAAGATTGTATAAGACTATCTAAATTACGATATAAGTTAGAAATAAAAAGGAAAATTAAGAAATACACATAATCTATATTACAGATATATTTTTACTTAATCTATACTTTTAGCTGTAAATCAAATATTTTGATAGAAAGAAAATTATAACGCTGTAATTAAAATATATGTATAACAGAAGTTTTGCAAAAAGGGATGTTTTCCAATTGCTCAACATAAATGTACACAGAAATGTACAGAGTAAAGCTTTTTACACAGCTCAATTAGAACAAATATGTACGATGTTTAGATTAAGTTAAACTAAATGCTTACAGCCTGTATTAAACAAAAACTTTCAATGTCCTGCAACCACATTTGTAGCTGTTGTAATTAATAACATGTAATTGTTATATAACAGAATAACGTGTCCAATTGTATGCAAAATAAGGATAAAAGTAACTGTAAATTTCGTAACCGTTATCCAAAAAATGTAACTACGTTACCGTTAGTTACAAAAAAAAGAAAGTAACGCAGTTACCAGTAAAGTTACCAAAAACTATAACGAAGTTATAGTTACAAGTTACAAGTAATGAGTTACTTCCATTCCCTGGTCATATGTGAAAATTCCTGTTTCAAATTACGCTTTCAATTATTCTATATAAGAAAATGGAAAGTTGAACGTATAATATACTTTGATTAAGGCAGAATTATAAGAAAATTGTCAAAAGAAATAAGACTTTCTAGGACGTAATCATAATTATAATTTGCGAAGGTCAAGAACAAATACACTGCCGTCAGATGCCGACGCACCAACTTTGTCACCGCGACTGTTCCAGCAAACTTCAAAGATACCGCCTGTGCCTTTATAACTGTGTACCAACTGTCCACTCTGTTCAAATTAAAAAAAATAATCAATTTAATTTCAACCAGCATCATTTTATAGAAGTAAAAAAAATTGTAAAAACAATACTCACTTGTGTAGACCATATATGAACGCATTTATCGAAACTACCGCTGGCAAGAAACTTTCCATCAGGACTGAATGCTACACTATAGACAGGCTCGGTGTGTTTAGTAAGAGTGTGTATGCAAACACCCCTTTCCACGTCCCATAACCTAACAGTGGAGTCGAATGATGCGCTTGCTAATGTTAAGTTCATATTCGGATTGTGCGTTCCTGGACCAGTCGGTGACCATTTAATCGTATAGATTTCTTTACTATGGGCTTGCAGATCGTGCACCCAAGTATCCTGTTTCATAGACCAAATTTTTAGACTCATATCGTCCGAACAACTAGCCAACAGGTTTCCTTGCGGGTCCCATTTAATTGCATTTACTTCGTTCTGTAAAATACACCGAAAAAATATTAAAAATTTTTTTCAATGAGCTTGATTAAATTGTGATTTTCTTGTATCACATATACGCACTGTATGACCCTGAAAACTTTTAATGGGCTTATCGACGTTGAGTTTGCACACATGTATACATTGATCTGTAGAACAACTTGCGAATGATGTGTTTGTTTGCCAATCGACATCCAAAGCAGGTGCACAATGAAAACTAAATTGTTGTGTACATTGTCCGCTTTCGGCATCCCAAATAATCGTCGTTTTATCGACGCCAGCACTCAGAATGTAATTGCCCCGTTTGTTCCATTTTAGTGCAAAAATCGGACCTTTGTGCTGGCCCAAAGTAGATGCCAGACGGCCATCTGTTGTCCAGATTCGTGCGTATCCATCATAACTCCCTGTCGCAAGTAATGTGCCATCACACTGTAAAAGTTTGAAATGAACGTTTACATCTTCAAAAATAAATAAAATATGAGATAACTTTGGTTCAAATTTTGATAATATTCAGACAGTCTATCACAAAATCAAGATATAACATTAAAAAAAAAACGTTTTAAGACGCCTTATTTTCTGATTTTGGATGAGTACTGCTTAGGCACTTCTGGACCAAAGTTATCCCGACTGGATCAAAATTATATCATTTTACAATATCCATTTGTACCTTCCAATCCAATGACGTGACGTCTTTATTGCTAGGTACTTCAGTGCCACCCTTCTGTATACAGTGACGTAGAACCAACTGATTGGGTGCTTGCGAGTTGTCCGACATATCCCAAATTCGAGCAGTACTATCACCTGATCCAGAAGCTAATAAATCTGTTGTTGGATTCCAGGCACAAATGAACACTTCTGACTCATGACCACGTAACTTAGTAGCTTTACTAGCAGGGATCTCGACGGTACTAGCGTTGGAACCTGTATTTGCACCTGTTGTCGGTTCATCCACCTCCATCTCTGTTCCTCGATCCCCACCTCGATCACTATTGTTTACACCTTCATTGGATGTAACAACTAAGAAAAAAAACATTTATTTGATTAATTTATAAGAATTTCTGATAATTGTTATAAAATAATGAAACAAATTCATCTTCCTAATATTCTACGAATAGAAATAATAATGGAAAGACAACTGCTGTTAAGTCACAAGTTATATTAACTTATATTTATTATTATCGTTTGACAACATTTTATATATTTCTATTATTTAATTAGCTTGTTTGAATTGTTTGCCACTAGTTGACAGTCAGATTGATGCGATGAGTTATATACTGTTTCTTCTGGCTGCATCCAGTGATAGCAATATATTCCTTCACAGAGGAATCATACTTTTATCGTAATGTCTAACAGAAGTAACAAGCTGTAGCTCACAAAATGACTGAAATCTATGGCTGTCCTATTTTAATCTACCTGAATTTTATGGAGGTCTGAAAATTATTTTCTTCTCCAGACCAGGGTGTATCAGGCTCTCAATAATATTTGTTATTTTCTATGTAATTTTAATTGTTAGTGTAATCTTCGGAATAATAACAGCCTTTTAAACTGTTTCAGATTAGAAATTGAAGTTAGATTTAAATTTAACCAATCAGAAAAAAGAAAACACTGATATCAAGTTTAGTAAACTGTGCTCTGATTGATCAAATTCCAATTCAATCTCAATCTCCTATTTGTTACAGATAATCCTATTTTATCATAATATATAGTTACCTAAAAATTAAAGGCTACCAAGAAATTCATCAATTAAATTTATTAACAAATTTCTGAACAACCTTTAATCTTTAAGTAACTATATGTCATGAAAACAGGCTTTACATATATAAAAAATTAAAAAAAAAACACTAATTTATTTTAACAGTAATGTAAATATTTGTAACACATAGATTACCTTCTTCACCATTGGTATCTTGACCATCAGTCTTTCCTTGCTGTTTCTGTTGATTTATCTGATTCTGTCGTGTTGCAACAATATCTGGCATAACAGCATCTATGAGCGACAAAGATTCTACCATTCTGTGTTCAGTGCCATCTTCGCCAATCATAATCTCTGCTTCTGTATATTGTAATCCCTTCTGAATTATGGACAAGAGTGCCGCCGGTGGTACAAGGGCTCCATTGATATTACTTTGTGATATGTGGGATTCAATTCCAAATGTATATGCAGAATGTTGGAAACCTACAAAGGATAAAAATGTATGAATAAGATTACAATAAGAAACAAAGCAAATTACTTGGATGATAAATTTAGAAAAAAACAAAAGTAAGGTATTAATATTCGGTATAAACAAGCAACAATTTATCAAATTTATTATTAAATTTAGACAAACATAGATACATTAATAACTTAAACAGGCGTCAAAGGTAGGCTTCCACTACAATGCCTTACTGATGAGTCCAGTAGTGGAAGTTGGGACGAAATGCCATAATTACGTGATATTCTTCACAATATATATTAGATTAATTTAAAAGATTTTAACGAAATTATTGGCTCATTGCCCTTATCTCGTTATATTAGTTGTTTAATACATATTGAGCCTTATCACAAACATTTTAAACAAGGATACATTTTAAATTTAGAATAACAAGTTATGTTGATAAACAGCTCTTATGACAAGTCTATTGATAGACAAATTTCATGAATAATAAATTAGAAAACAAAAGACTCTTTATGTAAACATAATTAAGTGTAGAAAAAGGACGATAAAAGTCAAGTTATAAAATGAAAATAATAAAACGGTTATAACGTTAAGTATGTAATAAATTTTGAAAAAATACATCAAACTAAAACTTAAATTACAATTAAACATTATATTTTAACGGAAAAATCGAAAAGTTAATATTTTATCAAATTAAACTACATAAGAAATATTTTTTGAACATGCCTGAAGATGACTCAAACCAAGAGTCGAAACCAGTTGTGCATTTTCAATTTTTATTAAATCTATGTTATTAGCGTTAAAATATATTGTTTAATTGTAATTTAAGTTTTAGTTTGATGTATTTTTTCAAAATTGATTACATACTTAACGTTATAACCGCTTTATTATTTTCATTTTTTTACTTGACTCTTATCGTCCTTTTTCTATACTTAATTATGTTCATGAATAATTTGACTGGATGATTCAATTTTAGCTATACTTAAATTATCAGCTGTCACACAAGAATTAATTTTGATCATGTCCGTTCCAATCAATTCACAGAAACTTTAATCTCAATTAAATTTATTTTTTATTTTTTCTAATTCTAAAAATTAGGAAAGAATACAATTAAATCTAGATTAAATATCATACGGTATACTTTATCTGAGAGATGTTTTAGAAATGTTCAACGTTTATAAAACATAGGAGGTATATATATCTACTTCATTTCACATGTGATATCAAAATATTAAAGAAAGATAAAATATATCATGTGTACCATACTGAACATACTCATTAAAATTTTTTGGAGATATTAGGAGCTTTCTAACAAACAACACTGTATGACACAGTGATCGTTTCATCTTTGTTTAAATATTGGCGAATAAAACAAGGCTATAATGATTTACTGTGTTACACTGTGTCATCCATGTCTCTTGTTAAAAAGCACTCTTGTACTGTTTAAGAAATTAATTATCTGCATTGGTTAAAACGGGTCTCAATCATATGAAATCGTGCGTCAAAATCACAAAATTGCCGGGTTCCATAGCACGTGATGCAGTGGACGCAGAACGGCGTTGTTCGCGCCTAATCGCGCCGTGAAATTGTAAGCAGCGGGTTGGCGAAATCATACCGGATTCTTGTAGGTATCGGTAGACCAAGAAATTGACCTCATCGCTGGAGAAGCTCATCGTGTCTGACATTCACGATATCAGCACAGCATATTCACAATGTGGACTATGTAGAGTGTGTTATAAGGTTGTTCCTCGAGTTGATCGCGGCTAGTCGCGGCTGCATGCAACGCCGAGTCTGCCTCCTGAAAATAAGGTTCTACTCCACTTCGCCTTCGCTATCGCCCGCCACTGTTTTACCGCGTCGTAACCAAACCAACAACTCGCCGAACCGAACCCGGTTTGCGTAAGGAAGAGATAGGTACCGGCGGTGAACAATAGATATCAGACAACTATCGTATATCAATGGTATCGATAGTGCGAAAACGGCAGTAAAGTACAGCAAACCACAGCAAACTAATGAGCAATTCACAGCATTTATCCTCGTGAAGTCGTGAGTACCGCGAGACTAAAAATCTTTAATGTATGTTTTCACGAATCGCTAAAACAAGCCATTGCAAGAATGCAAGCCATTCTACTATTCTAGATTCTAGCGATGAAAGGGGGTCACGTGATCAAAAACAAACTTAGCTGCGTTCGGTAAAGCCAGAAATGGGCCTTCTACAATAAGCCGTAAGTCACAAATCATAAGTCATAAGCTAGAAATGGACCAATCACAGTCGTCAATTTTTAATTTCTTACTTCCGATTTATGATTTATGACTTAAGGTTGGATTATACTGGCCGTAATCTGTTAACTTATGCTGTAATCTGTAAAAATTGACCAATTATAATCGATTATTCCCCTCTCATTCGACTGTGATTGGTCAATTTTTACAGATTACGGCATAAGTTAACAGTTTACGGCCAGTATAAATCAACCTTTATTGTAGAAGGCCCAAAACACATAGAAAAACGTAAGGCCGTAAACGTAATCAGTAAGCAAATTGACCAATCACAGTTGAGAACGTAAGAGGCGGCCGCTTGCATTCTCAACTGTGATTGGTCAATTCGCTTACTGATTACGTTTACGGCCTTACGTTTTTCTATGTGCCATGGGCTTAACATTGGATTCGCTACCGGCCTTATGGTCTCTATTGTGATTGGCCAAAACGCTTACTGATTATGGGCCTTCTACAATAAGCCGTAAGTCACAAATAATAAGTCATAAGCTAGAAATGGACCAATCACAGTCGTCAATTTTTAGTTTCTTACTTCCGATTTATGACTTATGGCTTATTGTAGAAGGCCCATTACATTTACGGCCTTACGTTTTTGTATGTGCCATGGGCTTAAAGCGGGGAGCACAGACTTTTGCATAACGCATAAAGCATGTGCATAAGGAATTTCATTGGTCCATTTTCTTATGCATGAGTCAGTGGACCAATCAAATTCTTTATGTATATGGTTTATGCGTTATGCAAAAGTCTGTGCTCCCCGCTTAAGGCTGAAGCATAAACCAGGCATTATTTATTTCTTCGCAGTTGGCAAGCCTATCTGCCGACTGATTCCGACGCAAAGTAGGCGTGGTTTCCGATTTTTGCTCACCCATGTTATCCCATGTTATCCTTCCACGATGGGTTGTCAACAAATAGCAAGATTTGTATTCGCAGAACGGGCGATTTAGGATGATTAAAGAAACGGGAGAGTTGAATTGAGCTTAAACTGCGTCTCTTCTCTTTTATGTAAGCTCTACGCGAAGGAATAAACTGCCGAGACGCCGAAAGTATTGGAAGTAGCACGGGGCAAAAGTAAGAATCAAGCCCTCCTCTGTCTGAAACATAGACTTTGATGAATGTCTGAGAGTGACTACGATTCAGCAAACGAGTACACAAGCCTGATGGACGGTCACGTCGCGGAGTCTCGCCCGGATGATCTGATCCTGGACAATGAACGTCGGAAGGGCCGCTCTAGAAGTGCCAATGAAGAGGTAGTTTTTTTTTTTTTTTTTTTTTTTTTAAGAAAATGCTTAGTTTATTATTTCATTAAAGAATTTTATTAATTTTGATTTTCTTGTTAGCAGAAAGGTCTAAGAATCTTTTGTTAAAAATGTCAGAAAAAAATGCTTCAATCTTTACTTAATCCTTCTATAGCAAAGTGAATTTTTATATTAGGATATTTAAGATATTCAGGAAAGTAGAATTGTGGATCAAACCCTTTCCTTTCTGTTCATTTTTTATATAATCAATGTAACAAGATAAAGAGGAATAAATAATAAGTATTTTCTAGCAAGAGAGAGATACAAGATTATACAATGTAATACAGTGAATTGTTATATCACTGTTTGCTAATGTTAAACAAAGGCTGCTTTTTTTGTAGGAGACGCAGTTCAAGCTGATTCTACTTTTAATGAGTCTATAGTCAGAAGTCTTAATCTTAATTGGTAAAGTTGGCCAATCAGTGTTAGTCATACAAGTTGGCTATTGGTTTCAACTTTACTGATAAAACTTAGAACTACTGACTACTGACTCATTGTAGAATCAGCATCACACAAGTGTGCTTTTATTTTCATTATTCATTGAATACTAAGGATAGAACAACTTATGTGTCAACTGTTTTTTCTATAAGGAAAGCAACCAAAGATAAAATTATGTTATATTATGTCCAATTATTAGAAAGTTAGATATGTGTCATAATTTTTTCCCCTTTATTGTATGGGCACAATGCATAAACACTGTAAAATAAAGTCAGGAGTCACATTTGATTCATCTTACCAAAGGTGGATTAACTAAAAATTTTTTTATAATTTTATTTTTTTTTGTTGGCAAAGAGGTTTAAAATATTGTCATTAAAAATGTTTTTCCTCTATTGTAGGTAGAAAATGGGGTTTCTGATGTACACATTGAAACACCAGGCTCAGCCAGATCGAATAGACGGGGTGCATCTGGTAGCAATAATCAAAATAGACGGAGGCGCTATACAGAGGAGGAGGAAGAGGAAGAACTAAAGTACGGCGCAGCGCACGTGATCAAACTCTTTGTCCCTGTTTCACTGTGTATGCTGGTTGTGGTAGCCACTATTAGCTCAGTCAATTTCTACACGACCAAGGGAATGTACTTGTAAGTTTCACATTGACATATGTTCTTTGTAGCTGTACTAGTGTACATTTATTCAATGCAACGATAAAAACAAGCCTTATGTACTGCACTGTACATGATACTGATTTATCAGAACAAAACGATTTTTTAGAGTATACACTCCGTTTCATGAGGACAGCTCTGACACGAGTACTAAAGTCTGGCAAGCGTTTGCCAACTCGCTGATTCTCATGAGCGTCATTGTATTGATGACTGTGATACTTATCATCCTTTACAAATACAGATTTTACAAAGTCATACATGGCTGGCTGATTATAAGCTCCTTATTGTTACTTTCAATGTTTTCTGCTCTATATTGCGAGTAAGTATAAAGATATAAATTTTAAACACCTATCAATTTCTAATATTTCTACCAGTGTAGATTAATTTTAATCTCAATTTATGACCTTTTTATCTTCTTCTAATTTTAAGAATTAGAAAAAGTTGAACAGAGTAAATGAAATCAAAGACTAAAGTTAATTTACATTGGTGATAATAAGCTTCTGTATTCAACATATAAAAGAAGATTTATAATGTATTTGTATTTACAGGCAAATATTGAAAGCTTACAACATTCCAATGGATTTATTCACACTAGGTATAGGATTATGGAATTTTGGTGTAGTTGGAATGATTTGCATTCACTGGCAAGGGCCATTGCAACTTCAACAGGCGTATCTAATCTTTGTTTCCGCCTTGATGGCACTCGTTTTCATTAAATATTTACCTGAGTGGACAGCTTGGGTTGTTCTCGGTGTTATAAGTATTTGGGGTAAGATGGTTTTTAGTTTGAAACTTATATTATGCAAACAATGATAATCTTATATCCTTACTTGCATTACAGATTTGATTGCGGTTTTAATGCCAAAGGGTCCCTTAAGAATACTTGTCGAAACCGCGCAGGAACGAAACGAAGCTATTTTTCCTGCTCTAATATATTCTTCTACCATCTTATACTCATTTACTGTAACTTACGCTGGATATGTACAAGCAGCTACAATGGCGTCTAGAGACACCGCGACGTCTCCTATGCATGGTCAGACGGACAATCAAAATGATAATCAAGTATCAGGTGATACAGAAGGAGGTTTTTCTCCCGAATGGGTAGACACGCACGGTACGAATAAAACGTTAATGAAATTTTCAATAGAAAGAATTATGTTAATTATTAATTTAATCATTTAATGTAATCAAATTAAGCTCTATGGGGATTAATGTATTAAATTATACAATTTAATTTTTTTAAACATTGAAATTGAAATTTAAGATTCCTATTTTGTAACTTTTTAAATAAAAATGTCGATATCATTATATTTTTATTGCGTAAGTTTTATTTTATATATGTAATAAAAAATTACGCAATGATAACGTAATGACGTTGTAATCAACGTTGTCGATAAAGAGTTACAGAATAAATAATAAAAATTTAAATTTAAGTTAAAAAAAAACAAACAGGTCTTTTAAATAAAAAACTAATCTTGATTATAGATGAGCGTAGCACGAGGCGCGCCCAAGAGGTGCGCGAGAATTCGTCCGCGATAACAGAAAGCACAAGACAGCAAGACGATTGTTCGAGACGAGAGTCGCAACGATCAGTTACGGTCATGGAGGAGGAACGTGGAGTTAAACTAGGTCTTGGAGATTTTATATTTTACAGTGTCCTCGTCGGAAAGGCTTCCACTTATGGAGATTGGAACACCACGTTGGCCTGTTTCGTTGCTATTCTTATTGTACGTATTTTTAAATATGTTTATTGCAATCGATATATCAATAGAATTTTTTTAATCGATTGTTTTTTTACACAGGGCCTTTGTTTGACACTGCTATTGTTGGCTATATTCAAGAAACCGCTACCCGCGTTACCAATTTCTACCACGTTCGGTTTGACGTTTTATTTTGCTACCAGAGCAATTGTCGCGCCGTTTGCTGATAGTTTAGCGAGTGAGCAAGTGTTCATTTAAATTAAGGTATGACAAAGCATCCTATTAATTTAGTATAATTTATTTAAAAATCGAATGTCGAGGGGACGATAATCATTTATTTATCTATTTAGTATTTGCCGCATTGTCTTTAATCTTTACAGGATGGTAAAATCACAGTGATATTAAAACAATATCATATTTTGAGACAAGAAATACAATGAAATAATATAACAAATTATAACAAATAATAAATTTTAACAAATTTTATTTAAGGAAAAGGTGTAAGGTTTGAAAATAGACTGTCTTCTGAAGATTAATCTTCATATTTTTCGAGTTGATCTTTCTTTTAAACATAATTAGTTTTTTTTGTGAATTTTTATTGGATTGAACAAATCAAGACAAAAAGTACCTACACTTTTAGATGTTTATCAGAAAATCGTGTATCAAGTGTGTGTTATATGAATGTATGTATGTATGTACGTCATAAAATGCTCAGAGAGAAGGAAAATACTAATTAAAATTTTTAATATAGATAACGTAGAGAATCATCATTTAGGATGTAATTACTTAATATTTTTCTATGAGAAGCAAATTCACAAGAACGCCTCGTTGTAAAACCAGGCGGGTTACATTTCATCGCAGCAATATGTGATAATCAAGCGGGAAAATGCGCTGCATTATAACAATTTATTGTACTCCATTGTTACACTTATGGAACATATAGGTCTCATAGGTTCATGTATAAAAAAAGCGGATAATGATGGGATGATCGCAGTGAATCGTATGAAATACGCGAGGTAATGTCCGTTCGAATAAGTAATAACTGCCTCGTTATACACTTATCTGGATTAGTATTCGTAGTATGCACTGAACAGTGCCGTTGCTCTAGAGCGTCGAATTCGCTATCACTAATTATTAATTATTAGCCAGGATGAATCTGTGGGGTTTTCTTGAGTCCAGGTTACACACAGCCAAGGAATAAATACCTTTTTTTTTATCATACTATTCAAAAGCATTTTTATCGTACTTGTGGCGCTTAATGTTTTTTATATAGATTTTATTTTAACATACTAAATATAATAGTTTTCTTGAAGCTAAAAGTGTTACTTCTTTTCGTCACATCTTTAAACATTTGATAAGAATACAAGACCAAGTGTCCTGGCTATGTAACGAACAAGCAGTTTTTATCTCAAAGTTTTTTGCATGCCAATATAAGATGCTTTTCAATAAACTTTAATACTTTAATCATACAATCCGATCGATCTGATCAATTATTATCCATAGCAATGCAGTAATATCTTCCAAATCGATAATTATTGTGGATCAACTTTGGTTTAGTATTAATATTCAAATAAACGCTAACATCTGCATAACAACTCCAACTTTAACAGTTTTCTGTTAATTCCTTGCACTTTACACATTTATACTCACATACATGCACACATACACACAAGCAGACAGACAGTGGGTTTTAATAAATACATTATCGCTATTTCAGATACTTAAAGGCCACAGTACGAAAGAAAATTCATAGAAATACTCATTAATTTTTTTAATTTTTGAGAACAGTAAAATTTTATTTAAAATTGTGATTCTTTCCTCCTGTCCCCAAAAAAATAAAAAATGAATAATTTAAAATAGCAATAAAAGTACTTTTGCAACTTTTTATTTAATTTATATCTTAAGTTTGGAAAATATAAGAAAATATTGTTTTTTTTAATCTTTATATTTTTCTGAACACATATTTATATGAATTTCTTTTCTTATTTGGATCTCTAGAACATGTACCTGAAGTAGTGATAAAAGTTTTATCAACAGCCAGAGATAGATCCCGAAAGCGGAAGAACTTCAACAAAGATATGATATTTTCTTCGCTTGTAACACATTGCTATGATCACAAGCCGATAATTATTACGCTAATGGAAATTGGAGTCTTTTAATTCGCTAGTCGATTCGCTACTTCGGATCGCGCATATAAAATGCTGTTCAACGCACAAAATAAATACTCTTCAGCTATCGAATAAACTATGCGAAGTTATGGTCACCGTTGCTGACGAATTTGTTTTTTCGCCGCACCGTAATTTACAATCATGTACGTTTGAACTAGTAAAACGTAACTGGAATAATAATATTAACTACATGATTTGACTATATCGAAGGAAAGTACACTTCGTGAATTCTACTGGGAGATTCTATTGGAAAGACATTAGGAAAATATCTGTAAAAGAGAAAATAAATCGCTATGATGCGATATATTTTGTCTCGCTAGCTGCGGTCTTTCCTCTCTCATAAAGAATATATCACGTTGCTTTCCCATTATTGTCTCCGTGCGAATTTTCTAGCGAGCACGAGACAGTATCAGTAAAGAACGCTCATTTTCTACAAACCAGTCTTACGATCGCTAAGCTTCTGGAAGCATATATTTTTGTAACGACTACACAAAGCAGTATGAGTCACTTAACATTTGCAACTCAATTGCTGATAAATGTAATACTCTTATTGAAAATATCAATGAGCACGGAACATATGTTAGTCTTTCATTTTTATATGATTCTTCATAGAATTGATATGTAATTCAAAAATGTATTATATATGATAAATGTTACGAGACTCATTCTGTATAAACGTCGTTGCTACTCAATTCATCCAATATCTCTTTTGCTATAGCTACTGCATTTTTGTAAATAGAAAAGAAAATGACAAAAATATCATAAATAATAAACATTTATCATATTTCACTTACTTATTCAATTCTCTCACTCATTTTTCGGCATTCGAAAAGGTGAGAATTGCACGATAGTATCTTAGCTAGTTCCGTACTTGCCGCTCTCGAACATACCGCGCCTGAAAAACGGGCTGAACTCCAATAAAGATTGTTTGTTTATGTTGCTAAGATTGCCGTTGTATTTGTATAGGGGCTCGCAGTGCGGCAGTTCCGAGCAAACTTGAATTAATCGGCGAAGATATTCTTCGAGGCGTTTCCGACGTTGTCTCGCTACGACTTCATACTTTGGAAAGACTTGGCGTGGGGGGAATCGTATCGCAGCGACCTGTGATCAAAAAGTTTCTGTAAAACTGATTGTGTTGTGAATGCGTGCTTACATTTATGAAAATGGTCTGATCGTTTATGTATATACATACATGTATATATAACTTTGATCGATGAAAAAATCTAATTATTTCGAAACAAAAAATATATATTTTGTTTTGAAATAATTAGACTTTTCTATAGTTCAAAGTTTGTTTTAGAACGTTTATAATGCATGTCAAAGTTCAGAATAAAATTATGTAATATTTACGCATATATATGTATGCATGATTTGTATTTTATATAAGTATGTCCCGAGTTTTTAATCCTTTTCTATATTTTACATGGCACACAGAATGTATAAAAAGAATTTTATAATAAATTTAATTGTTTCAAATGAGCTTAATGATTTAAGTAAATTATGAGATACTTTTTAACAAGATCTCTTTCTTTACAATGGTAAAATAATTTTATTTGGAATTGTAAATAATTTATTTCTTCAAGATCTAAGTACATTACACTTGGATCTGATATCTTACATTACAGGGTTGATGTCAGTTCTCATATTTGTGCTATTTTTCTTAATTATTATGTAATGTAGCTATACAATAACGTACCTTACTACTATATTTCTGTCGCATCGATATGTACAACTCTCGAAATCTTCTGTATCTACGTAGTAGTGTCCAGCTGTCGTCCTGTGCCACAACTCGTACCTCGTATTCATAATGGCTGGATGCCCCGGCTCCGCGTATCACATATGATGGTACGCTGACGATCATGTTAATCACGCAGTCGTTGTCGTTCGCTATTAACGATGGCAGAGACCTTGTGATTGTCAAAGAATACGGACTACTCAAACGGTCGCCGCGATTCTGACTCTGTGCAAAGAACGTATGTTAAAGTTTTCTCGAGACTGGTTATCTAAAAAAATTTGTTCTTTGTCGCTGCGTTGAACTAGACTTTCTATCTCGCTTTAGCCAAAAACTTCAAAAATATATCTGTTTCAATTTAACTCTTCGTGATTCAATCGAGGCTTGGAGGCAAAATTTCAATTTTTATTTATTTTGCCTCAAATTCGAACACGTACAAAAAAGTGAAAGTTTCGAGTCATATTATAAAATCGTCTTTTTGAATACTGAAAGAATGTACCAGAATTTTTTCAGATTTTTTAAAGCCCAAAAACTATTTGAGAAATACAATGAGACATCAATATCCGATTGAATTAGAAAAAACGTTGAACCACGAAGGATTAAGTACACCAAATATACATAGTTCAGCCACAAAGAATAAAGCTTAAAACGAGATGGAAAAAATATTGATGATTTACCGTCAAATAAACTGTTGAATAACCCCGATTGGAGGATCTTTTAGACGCTAACGATTCTGACAAAGTCTCTTGATCGTTAGTATTAGGCCTGTTATTCCTGAAAAGTTGAGATCTGGTTTGCGCTACCGTTAATAGAGTGGCAGAACTATTATTTGTAGGTTCTATTACACTACAGTAAGCATTTGGTTCATTCTGTACATAGTCCTCGGTCTCGTTGATGAGTATATCACTATGGATATTGTCACCGTCGCATTGGAGCCGTCTCGTGGAATGATTTTTACGTTCATCCTCCAATAGAAACACTTCCAATTCGATCTGCTGTCTCTGCAGATCCTGTAGTATCATTATTTGTCGATTGAGATCCTCCTTCGATGGGGTACCGGTGTCCAAGCATCTCATAACCATCATCCGTTGACGTGCGATTCTTTGATTCAGCCTTTTCATTGCCGGATTTTGCTGTATCGGCGATTCCAACGTATCTTGGAGCATGTTTTCCGAAATAGTGGACACCGTGGGTGGTTGTACCTTTCCTTCGTCACTTACCAGCTCCATGGAAGCTTTATTCGCATTTGTCGTGCTTTTAGTTTCCATTTCGGATGAGCTGTCATTTCGATCTTCAGTTGCTGATTTATCCTTCATCAGATCGTTTATACATGTCGTGTTGACATCGAAGGCTATGCGAAGTTCTGGAGAATCAGCCGCTGCCGTGTGAAATGTTTCCACGGTATCGGAGCTCGGTATACTCTGCGGCAATAAATTCAAGTCTGAGGCGATCTGATGTTTCCTATTGTTCACTTCTTGAAAAGATGTGGTATTACAGCTGAAAGCCTCGTCGCAATCATTTGATGAACAGCCGTCTTCCAGAAATGCGGGCGTAGTACGTTTTAAATCCAACGATAAACTATGTTTACGCCGTTCGATTTCTTCAAGCTGTTCCTGCGTCCGCTTGGCCAGTAACAGTTTTTTCTCTGTTACTTCTTCATCTCCCAGCTAAAAGTCGTTAATGTAAAGAATTGTTTTACAGAACGTGTTAGTAATTTACGTATACATACTTCTGCCTTGAATATCTGCTTTTGCCTTTTCGCGATCTCCATCAGTTCCTCCTCCATTTTATCCACTTTACTCTGATGTTCATTTAGAGACTTCACCTTGCTCTGCAACTCGTTTTCCAAAGCGGCTAGCTCTTTTTTCTATTTACAAAAAAATTACATATTTAAAAAAAAAGCAGTCAAACGGGATTGAAAAATCCCGCTTAAGGCTCCTGTTCACTCACCACAGTCACTCACTATTATCTCAAATTGCGTGATGTCAGAAGTGGAGAAAACACGATAAAAATTTTTACAAATTATATTTTTGAATAGAAATTTTTTTTTTCAATAAAACAATTTACAATTGATAAAATATCTCTTAACTAAATTCTTATTTCGGGGAGAAATTAAATCATGTTTATATTTCTATATATTATTAATTTAATAGTTTATACAATAGCTATGAACATTTATATCATTTTTGGCTATGCATAATTCATTTCCAGATATATGTATGATGTAATCCACATCGTGGATATATATGGTGCTTTCCATTAGTGACAGAAGTCAATACAAATATTTATCTTTCTATCATTCCAGTAAATAATAAAAATAAAACAACTTGTGTCGATTTGTATCAATAACTGGAAAACACTCATGATTATTTATTAATTAATGAAACAAAAGAAAAGTTTTCAATATATTGGCTGGTTTAGCAGAGAAGCAGGTTTGCAATTGTTGTAAAATTCTTTAATACGATTGATTCTCACTTTTGATTCCTTATGGATGTAAATGTATAAATCATGTTCAAGAATTTGCTGCTTTCTTTGCTGAACGCTATTTTACAAGTCGATTCCATCGATTGTGTTGTTTTATTTTGAAACATAGTTCTATTTTTTTATTATTATAATGTATTTCGCAAAATTTTTTTTATTATGTATTTTCTCGTTTTTTTAATATCATAACCTGAGATAGTAGAGTAAATAAGAGCCTTAACTTCACTTACGTGATGATTCACTAATTCCCTGACACTCTCGATGCACTTTTCGTCGTTGAGACTAGACCAAGATTCGGGTAGACTGTCATCACTACCGGCACCGTTGTCTGTCTGAAATGCACATTCCGCTTCACTCACTCTCTACAAAATTGTACTAAAATTACTATAAAATAAGACGTCCGACCTTTTACATTCATACAAGATCTAGAATTCCGTTGTTTTATTTATTATAAAGAATTACTGCCGAAAGAAATGTTATATTGTCTGCGTAGATCAAATTATATGAATATAGTGCAAGTATGCATCGCGTCGTTTGCAATATGCGTGCATATTACAGATACGGACTCTCGAAGATTCCTCGCGAAGATTCCTTATAATCCTTACCTTTTCCCACCGAGGTTGACAAGTTTGTACACGTTCCTGACTGTTGACGAGCTCTTGCAATTGTCGATGCTTGGACTGCAATAATGTGCGCAGATAGGCGACTTCCCTACATATACTTTCTACCTGGTACCACACACACACACACCGATGCGTTAAAAAAACAAAAGAGATAATCAACAGAAGATGATTCAAAATTAAATAATAATTTACCATGATACATGTTGCATATGAACAAAAGATCAAATATTTATTATTACAAAATATCAGAATGACGAGGTAACGCCTGAAGATGAATAAAATGGAAATAAATATTTGTGCTTTTTTCAGAATGTACAAAATGTCTTTTAATGCTATATGACAATAGTAGAATAAAATATTTCCAACGATAGCATAAACATTAACGCACGTATATATGCTAAATCTAATCCTTGTGCACGCTTTTGACAAATAAATGTAAATATAAATAAACAAATTACAAAGTAAATAGAATGAATAAAGCGAATGTATCTTCGCAGTGCATTGCCTCAAAAAAATAATAAAAACGTTTCTTCATTCTAATAATTAATATTCGGAGTGGTGCATCATGCGGACGGATCCCGAGGTGCGGCAACAACGAGTTAATGAAAAATTGGGTTTGTTAATCGGGAGTGTTAATCGATCGAATGCATACTCTTAAAAATTATGTGAGAAACAGAGATAAAAAATTAGTGAGAGTGCGTGCAAATACTTCGTGGAGGATTAAACGCCAATTTTTGTATGAAAAATTTATTAAACAACAATAATATATATATCAGTATAACAATAATTAGTGCCTCTGTATCTTTATATCTCGCATAACAAACCCATAGACGTATCTCTATACAAACAAGCCCAAGATATGTACATACTTCACTCTTAACATTCTTACTAGATACTTAAAAATATAACATTCCAAGGAATGCCATCTGTCCGGCAATATCTCTTCAGCACTAGCACCTTTTCATGATCAGCAGCTTACTCATATACATCAACGCAATTTGTTAACATAAACCATTTGTAAATATTATTAATATGTTAAATATACGCAATATATTTGAAGATATTCTTGAGGCCGGCACAGGAATTAAGACAATCTCATGAATAGCGAACGCAAATCTCGTCGTAAATTACAACGAAGAGTGCTTTCCAGCAAGAGATACAGATGATACAGTGCAACACAGTGAATCATTACATCCTTATCATTTACTAATGCTAAGCAAAGATGAAATGATCACTGTATTACACTATATCTTTTGCTGAAAAGCACTAGAAAGCTTGCTATAGAGAAGTACACATACTGAAAGGCCTGAATCTAGACATCGATAGACAGTACTGTGTATCTTAATCACAAAAATTTTGGTCGAATTGTCGAAATGTCTTTTCGCAAACGGTCGTTTGCACATTCGGGACACTCGCAGATGTTCGTTCACGATTCGCGGCATCTCGCAATGACGCGTGAAGAGCGAAACTTTATTACGATGGACCGGGCTATCACATATTTAACGGACAAACGTGCGAGTAGATGATGATGTTGCCAGACAAGCAAATAAGGACACCGATAGCGACAAGGACGAGGTAGAATTGGTACTTAATCGAGATTACATTCAATTCCGGAGACGGAGGCGCGTCCGTGTCACTTACTTGCGTCATTTCGTCCCGTCGTTCTTGCTCCAGGACATGCCGTCTCGCGCGCAGCTCGCGTTGACGCGACTCCAGGACCGCAATAGCATCCGCCCATTCTTTCCACTGCGCTCCCCATTCGCGTTCTAATTCGCGTTGGGCTCCTTCTAGCGCTTCCCTTCTAGCAGTCCATCTTTCCTCGCGTTCTTCTTGTTCCCTCTGCAAAACATATATAGTTAGCTAAAATTCCGTTCAACGAGAAATGGTCTTCTAACTAGAATATTTCATTTACTTTAAAGTCTTCCTTTTCCTTCAGAAGCGCGGCCTTTTGTTGTTCCAACTCCTCGACCGCTCTGAGGTCTTCGCTTGAATTCAAGAGATTGTCACTAGAACAGGACGCGTGCAGATCGGAGACACTCCAACTTAAGAGCGACAACCTCGATAGATTGACAACCGTTGATTGCAGGTTACCGTTACCCGAGCCGCCTTCCTTGCGGAGTTTCGCTGCCTCAGCTGGATCGTTGTAGCGGAACATATTGTTCCTACCCAGGAGTATGATACATCCTTGCGATAATCGTGTCGGTTTGTCCACCTGGGCAGTATTGATCCAACAATGGGGTGAGAGTGGATGCAGCGTCGCCACGCCACTATCCAGCTCGACCGCGCAATGTTCCGGTTCCACATCCGCACCGGTCAATACAATATCCTGTTTGCAATACAACAAATATTTTTAATCGTCCTTTTATTAATTGGTACATAAAAATAATGCAACCTCTTAAAGTTTGATCTTTCATTTGAATCGATTAATATGGCTTGTTTTTTTTAGATAAACTTCTTGCACTATTCATCTTTTATTATCTTTTTTCTCTAACGAAAAAAATAGATAAATCGTGCAAAAATTTCAGCTGGAAAGAACAGGTTACACATTTTGGTTATATATAATTTCCATTTTTCTCTATGTAATCTTATGAATTTTATTATATTTATAATAATATTATTACCTGGACAACGGGAGCTTCCTCCGTGCCTACTAGTGTTTTCCCCTCCTTTAAGTGATACAATGTAACGCCGGTACTAAGCAAATCGTCATCGATACCGACTAGATGCGGCATTTCCGAATCGAGAACGACACCGACTCCGCTCTTTCGTAACCCCAGCGCTTTTTGTTCTTGCAGAATCTGTTGCGTTTCTCGCCACTTTTCAGTCCATTCTTCGGTTAATACCTTTTCTTGTTCTTGTTTCTCTTGGATTTGAGCCAACAGCACTTGCGGCGGTTTTTCCACGCTCTAACAATTAACAAATAAATAAATATTTTTTCTAAAACCACAATGAGAGAAAGAATGTGGAGGAAATGTGCCATGATACTTGCCATATTTTTGTCAATAAGAGACTTCAATTTTTCTATCTCCGCTCTGAGCTCTCTGATGAGTTTCACGTTTGCGTCTTCGTTGATAGTCGGCTTGTTAATAATGTTTTTCGCGCGATTAGCGTATCTAAGAGTGCTGAGAGTGTCGTTGTAATTGCATTCCGCCGGACTGATAGTCGCTATCATGATAGTCTTGGAATTGCCGCCCAGGGAATCTTTCAGCAACCACGTGAGCACGCTGTCGCGATAAGGGATAAACGTATTTCGTTTTGTGGTGGACGCATCACCGCTGGCAGAACTGAGTTCAGAGAGCGTGGATATCACAGTGCCTAAAGTTACCAACGACTTGTTAATGTGCGCGCCTTCCTTGAGTCGTTGACCCGTCGCTCCAGTCGCGTTCGCACGTTCACTAAAAAGGCAGAGACATTTTTTTTAGGAAACACTTCTCACGATGTTTTTATATTTTATTTTTCTATTCTTTTATTTTTGCGAACAAACTCAAAAATAACTCGACTTGCAATGCTTTTTTTTATTTTCGGAACTACCTTCCAGCCAAGTCGACAAGGTGCACTTTGGAAACAGTTTCCGATGGCATGTTGCCCTCCGAGAGGCCGGCTTGTACGAAGGTTATCGTAAAAATCGCGTGACTCCTGCTACTCACGTCGTTCATCTTTGTGCTGGCTGTGGTCCTGTGCGTATTACCTCTCACCATGCATTCCTAAAATAAAAATGATTCTTTTATTGCGACTGAAAGAGATACATACCATTATACATTTATTATTTATTATTATGCACAATATGTATCTTATATACCTACTTTTTTAATAAAATATTTTTATTTATATAGATACTAAAATAGCAATGTCAAAAATATATTTTACAAATTATGTGATAAGAGAGATTATATGTGTGATACAATAATATACATATAATGTACGTCCTGTTATAATTTTAAAATAATATATAATAAGCAGATAAGCGACAGGACTTTCTTTCTTGTCTTTCAGAGCTGACGATGAATCTATTGATCCCACTATTAAGTAAATTATAAATCTCTCTTTATGAAAAATAATTCAATTCTCTTTATGTTATATTTGCAAACTTGAATTATTCTTATAAACCCATGATCACACGTTTTCTGTGACTCTAAAATTAGAAAAATGTTTTAGTAATTCTGTGACATATTTTTCTAGTTTTTAAATTGTGTTAATGTTTTAGAATAATTTTGTTTTACAATTTTGTTCTATTCATGTAGACTACTTATCATATTATATTTATCCTAAATATTGTTATTCTTCAATTAGTATTATGTTCCAATTACGGGTTAAAATATACTTAATATTTATTCTTTTTATATGAGTTTTGTTACTTTGATTCTTTGAAATTAATTTATGTCATTTAATTAACATAAATTAAATAAGTCTTACAGATCCAAGTTAAGACGGATTTGGACGTTAGCTACAGAGATTCAAAACGTTTTCTTAAAGCTGGATGTATACTTAGCGAACAAACACTGAACGAACAACGATTGCGAATGTTTGGACATCCATATTTGTGTTTGTATTTCTGCAGTTTATTCCTTCTTTTGATTGCACGAAATACTAGCATTCGATCAGATTCGATGTTCGTTGTGTACATAGCGATTAAACTTTTGTAACATTTATGTAACAAATAACAACAAACTTTCGTGTTCACTGTTTATTCGGTTTGTTTGTTCGCTAAATATATACACAGCTTACCTGAATATCCGAATAATCATAGACGAGATGACATGATAGATCTTGGACATAAGGCCCTCCCGTGGGATGTTCTCGTACCCTCAGCGAATGAGATTGGCTTTGATCCAGTCTAAGCAGATCTCTTACTCTTTCGTTATAGATTTCTAGGAATGATACTTCCGTTCTATATGACGCCCCACTTTCCTTTCCTGCTGCCATTCTAGCGAAAAGCGTCTTGCAAATTCGTGGTATCAATCCCTGAGATTCCTACGATAATGATTTACACATAATAAATTACAAGAACAAAAAAAGGATTAATTGTAATACAATTGAATATATAATAGATGTACAAAATCATCAATATTATATTCTCTTATCAAAGGTAAAGAAAGTTTGATTAATTGTAGATTTTTTATTTATATACTTATTATTGCAAAATATATTAATTTAACCAAAATTAAGGAAAACAATAATTCATTAATTTTTTAAAATATTATAATATCAGAGTGAGATTTTATTTATGTTTCTCAAAAAAGCTGGTTTTATATTGTCCAATTAGTAATTATATCTACTCAATTATGTAAAAATTTCATATTCCATAGTAACTGTAAATTTTATTTCTTTTATTTATATTAATTTTCCTTTTCCTCATTTTTTTGCTTAAATTATATCTGAAAGAAATATCGACACAGAAATCTTTTTTCTGTAGAAAATGAGACTCTGAAAAAGGTATCTTTGTGAGAAATTAGATTATTGCATTACCGGCGTGCCCATCATCGTAAAGGTCTTCCCGGATCCTGTCTGGCCATAGGCAAAAACGCAGGCATTGTAGCCCTCGAAGGCACTTTCTATTACGTCCGTACCAAGATCGTAGAAAACCTGGAGGAAAAGACGATTGGATTAAGGTCTTTCCCTATCATTCGATAATACGAGCGGCGTCTCGCTTTAATAACGCGCGGAAGCGAAACAAATTTTATTAGTCTCACTGTTACCCCTCAACGAAGCGTGCTACGCGTTTTACATAATAGCACCTAATTAGGTCATAGTAACGTTGACTTTAACGATTATACCGTAGCGATGATCCTGTATTGTGTCCCGCTTAATAAAGATTGTTCTGTTTGATTATGCTTTGACAGCCCTCTTTCATTCATTACAAATGTTCCTTGGAAATACTAATCGGCTCTAAAGCTTCTGTCACAACATTACAATAGACAGTTACTGATTATATCATCAGGAAGATCAATTATTGCTACAATTACCGCGCTCGATACACTTTCTCCTTTTCGCTCACAAGCTCTTTCGTTAAATTTATTTCCGTGTCTAATTCGATATCGGTTTATCATTAAGCTAATTATAACTCTGTAAACATAAAACGACTTCGATTTCGTCTTTCCGTATACGGTAGCGTTATCATGAACGTTTCACTCTTTTCAAGGTCGACAGCTTCGTCATCGATCGCGAAATCTCGAGGGAATAATTTTTACTTTAGTCTTCGTTTCGTTCTGCCGTGGAAAAAAATATTGATATGTACCTCTTCTTGGGACGCATAGTTTTCGTCGTTTGAATCGAAGGACCAGTAGGAGTGATCGAACGTGAAGTCTTTGTACTTCCCACGGTCGATATCTCTGCAGCTATCCGGTGTCTATAAACAGTAAATAATAATTGTTATTTCAATGTATGTTTCGCTTTATCGCCATCATTAGTGCTAAAGTTCAATTATTATTAGTCGAGTCCGATTTATATGAATGAATGGATATAATAGAAACTAATGAAGATGAAAAATGAATATAAACTGTTTATATAATTGTCTATTATATTTAAAAATTATATTATCTATATATTTTACTACTATATTATATTTACTACTATCATAATATTTTTATAGCACTTTTGGAGTTTCTTGGTACTTGTAAAGTAAAAATATAAAATCTTTAAAAAGGTTATTTCTATAAAAATCCCGAAACATTTTCCGATAAATATTATATTTGATTTCTTGAAACAATAAAGTTTCCTGAGGATTTTTACATTTTCCAGGTTTTCCAAACAGAAAGTACATACGAGTACTTTTTATTTTTTATAAATTTAACTTTTTTTCGAATTAAATTCTCTTTGATATTTTCTTTGTTTTCATCGGAAAGCTACTGACTGAATCGTTTGACTCGTGTATATTTACGTGATGTTGCTATATACGATAATTATATAAAATGTGTATTGTTCATGTTGGATTCTACGTAACTGATTAAAGCATCGCTGGGAACATCGTGCTGCATTATGCAAGAAAGCGAATGAGAAGTAATTAAAAAAATATAAGACTAGAATGATTTTTAGGCCAATCTCGCTTTTACAATTTCGCGTGCACTTTATATATCGAGTCCGCAAACACGCTAGCGGTCAGAAGGCAGCATATTAATTTACATATTCGCATGCGAATATGTTCGCGAAAATTTCTAAACTCCGTCGCAGTACATAGTTCGAAGCGAAGTTCAAAGTCTCGTCCATTAATTCACTCTCAGTAAATCTCAGTCCGCTTAGTATTCCATATTTGAGATGTTTCCAAATTTATCAAACTGTCCAAGCTACAGTGAAAAACCTATATAATAAAAAAAAATATTTCGTCAGAAATCAATTGTACTAAAGTAACAATATTATTTTACGAGCAGCTCGACAATTCAATCAACTTAACTTCTTAAAATCAAATAATGCTCTTAATCTCAGTTCAACTAACTCCTCATTTCTCTCTCTCTCTCTCTCTCTCCCTCTCTCTCTCTCTCTCTCTCTCTCCTTAAGAATTAGAAAAAGATGAAGAGTAAAAGTTGAATCGAGATTAAAGTTAATCTACATAAGTGCGTTTTGCACCTTTGGACAAGGCTGCACTTAACTCGTGTTCGCCAGAGATCTTTTTGCCGGACGATCGCTCTACGGGATTGGCCTTCTCTTTTGTGAGAGAGAGAGAGAGAGAGAGAGAGAGAGAGAGAGAGAGAGAGAGAGAGATCGTCCGGATAAGGTTTAATTGAATGCGGATAAAACATAGATTATACAACACGGCGCGGCCGCGGCAATTGCACTCGATTGCGTAGCCGCAATCGTCGAATAACGAGTTGCCGGTTGCTGCGGTCCAACCGCGATTTTCGCACTTTCTCCTCAACGCATGCTTTGTTACCTTTTAACTCGGAGATTCACACAGATAATTATAGACAGAGACGTACAATCGAGACACTTTCTGTTTTGTTAAGTAATGGTTTATTTTTGTAAAATCAAGGATAATTTAGAAATAATTATGTTTTCATAACACTGTTACTCTCTCATTGTTTGTTTTACAAAGCATTGTAAAATAAATAATTTGAAGGCAAATTGAAGTTTTCATTGTCAGAGGAGATTGAGCGACGCAATTTTCTAAATTTATTTATTTTTCAAAAAGTCATTTTTTCCAGGCTCTTTTTTAATTATCTGCAATATTTTGCCTAACTCAAGTAATTGAGTTAGGCGAAATGTTATCAAAGTGATTTGTTTGAAAAAAAAAAACATATAAACATGATGTGCATTAGCTTTCGTTTTGATAAGCTGGATTTGTCGGTCAAAAGTTCAATTAATAATTATAGCTCAGAAATTCATAAAAGTTATTCAGGCAGAAATTATGACACTAAATTTACGAGGCATCGACCGATCGTAGCACAAAAGAGCAGATCATCTACGTCTTGACTTCCGGTTTAGAAATTCTTTAGAAAGTTTATTTAAAGCCATTACTTCTCGGTACTTTGCGGTACCACGAAGTGTGTTGTTACACGCTCAAGCTACCGTATAACCAAGAATATTACTATACATTAATAGAACTAATAATAAAATCAATTTTGTACAAATGTTTTTTATAACAAGTGCTTAGTATTTTATTGAAAAAAATGGATGCTATATGCAAGATATTTTCTTGATACCTTCAAATTAATTAACATAAAATTAACGTAAAGCTATTGAAAATATGATATCGAAACTTCCTTGTGATATCACAGTCTGTTATATCGAATGAAAATTTGATCGTAACTCGAGACATCGAACTTGCGATCCACCCACCGCTTAACTTGGTTTTACTGGTGCTTTAGAGTGGGTATATGACAACAGACTCGTGATGTAATCACGGCTTACATCATAAACAAGACCTTCAGTTTATGAACAGACAGCCAAATCGCAAATATGCAACAACAACCACTTTTAGCATCGAAGATGCGTCTCTTGGAAAATGTTGACATCCGCCTACGTATTCTAACCAGCTATCTATAACTTGAGCTCGTAATAACCAGCACAATAATATATATTCAATAATGTAAATAAACATCAACAGTAGGTATCTTGACATTTAATATATAATATCTCAATTTTGTATAAAGCGTGAGATGTTTATTTGTAAGTAAATTCCTTTTTAAACTGAATAATGAATAATTCTATTGCTATTTATAATCTTGAAACATAAGGAGTAAAAAGTTCTTCGTTTAAAACAGATTATTATTCAAAGATTGTCTCACCGTTAATTTTCGCTCGTTAAATTAGACAAGAACAAATCTAGAAGGTCACAATCATCAAAATTTGAAGCTTGTATTATACAAAGAAATTTAACGTATCAACAAAACATCGAATAAGAAAATAAAGAAATGTGTAAAGTTCCTTGAAGTTTTTATCAACATAGAATAAATGTAAAAGATCAATATTATAAATATATCTCACTAACAAGAAAAAGAAAAAAAGAAAAAAGTACTGAAAAAAAGTATTTAGTAATTATAACTGTAATTACCATAATAATAACATATTACCGTAATTATGGTTATTACTGCTATAAGTAATATAATAACTATATTTATGGTTTTATTAATAAAGATATGCGTATATTTATTAATATACCGAAAATGGCTATAAATTATAGTTTAATTATAATCTTTGCAGCCATTTTTACGGTGATAATAACTATAATTTGTAGTCATTTTCGGTATCAACTATATATATTTGTTAATAGAATTATATGTACAGTTATTATTATTAGCATTATAGTAATAATAATCCTAATTACAGTAACATATAATTATAATAATAAATATCAAAAACTTTTCTCTCAGAGTGAGTAACAATTAATTTTAGACTTTCCAAATTTTAGACTTTTCCACCCTTCATGTATACGCATTGCTTTTTGTTCCCTCTGGAACATCCTACGTAGCGAATTCGTATTCTTGTGAAACAAGATCGAAACCGGCTCCAAAACCAGACAATTTGCACGTGAAAATCGTCCATGCGAGAGCAGTTGACCTCGATTGATAATCATACTTGGAATTTACCGTCGCTTTTGTGCAGCTGCTTGGATCAGCTGCTGATTAACAATGACAACAACCATAATGAAATCCAACCAGATTTAATTATTATTATATAACTGTTATATGTTATACAGTTAAAAAAATTCAAAGAAATAATTAGCTTTTTGTTTCCTCGATATGATTTAACTGAATTAACTGAAAAATATATAGATTTAAAAATATTTGAAAGACTTAATTTCAAATTACTTAAAATTATGACGCGATAAAATGTTTTTGTGGGGCGTCGAAAATTGTATTTAACAGAAAAGATTTAGAACGAATTTACGAGACCGCTTTTCTTTTAGGAAACACAATCGACATAAATATCGTTCTATTTTTATGATTTATTGAATGCCAAGAAGGATAGGTTTGTGACGATTGTGTCTCCTAAAAAGAAAACAGCTTTAGTATTAAATTCCTTAAAACTGTGACGTGATAAAACATGAATTCTGGGAGCTTTAAAATCGTATTGAATAGAAAAAATTGAGTTATACCAAAACGCCGTTTCTTTTGTAATCTCCGGCATGAAAAGAGCTATAAAAAAAAATAGGTAGGTAATATTCTACAAGCAGGATAATGTATTGTCCATTGCGTACTGCATCGTCCATCATTACGTTAAAAAAAAATCGTTATATTAATTACGTAAGTCTCAGTTTTATGATTTTTGTATTGGCTGAAGACGGCAATAATGACTTTCGAGTAACATAGTGTTACGACAATTCACTCTCTTTTTTGGAGTGAAATCTCACTCTAAAGAGTGAAAATTGAGCCTTAAAAGAACAGCTCAGTTTTCGATCTTTAAGAGTGATATTTCATTCTTTAAAGTGAGATTCACTCTGAAAGTTTTAAAGAGTATTTAAAGGCGTCACATGGAAATGATAAAAAGCAGACGTGACCCCATATATTTCGACCATATATAAGGGCGGATGGAAGTGACGCGTTGCGAAAAATGGCTTACCTTGGTGTTGAAGATCCGCGTCCTCTTGCCGTTCATCTGTACGATCAGCTTCTCGTTCATCGCTACCTCTCTGTAAAGCAACAAGCACGTCGTTATCCTGGCCCTCGACCTCTCCCGTTACGACAGACATTACGGAGACCGAATTCGGAAATCGACGAGACGCGCGCAACCGTTGGTTGGGTCCGTAATGCACACCAGTCGATACCGCGATGACACAATTGTGTCATGTACTGTCAATAGCGTTCGACAACGACGGCTTTGAATTGGAGTTGCTGTCACTTCTCAAACCTTTTTACTTTACAGGCGACAAAATAATTGAATTCGTCGCGTTTCAAAGAGGATACTCCGAATTCCTCATTTTCTCAGAAAAAAAAAAAACAAATAATCTGATATTAATATAACTCTCTATAAAATGTATTTCATTATCATTAAATATTAAATACGTATTACTACTCAATATTATCTATTCTTTATAAAGAAAATGGAATCAATACTCAGCGCATCGAGATCAAGTTCTTGCGCCAGCATAAAATATATATATATATAGCAAATTTGCAAAAAAGAACCGTGCAGCGTATCTTTTTTCGGAGTAATAGGTTTCTTCTTGATCACTTACGTTAATTGGGACTCTTAATTGAGACCGTCTCATCGAACAAAATGTTTTTTAAAATTTTAAAGCGTGGTTTGAAGTAAGATGGTTCAAGATTTGCTCCTCCAATCTTTACTTAAACGACTGAATTAAAATGGCAACGGAGGATCAATATAAATGAAAAATTAAGATAAAATCAATGAGGGTATCTTCTCGCGAATAAAGATATTTGTATAAGTGTTTGAGAAATGGATTTGTAACTAATGCCCAAAATTTCTTCTAGATAACCTTTATCTAGGAGGTACTATATTTCCCAAAATATATAATGGGGAGAGATATCTCTTGGATAAAGTTATCCGTAACTTATCTGAAAGTGAAGCAATTGGACACGATAAGATGGAGTAAAAGAGATAAAGTAAAAATTTATTCAACCGTAAGTGAATCATTGGTCTTTAGACTTTTTGCGTTTGATTTTCTGCAGCACAGAATGTGCGGGGAGATTGAATCATCCTAACGATGACGAATCCGTTCTCCAATGATTTCAAAGGTATTCATCGCGCGCATGCATCATCCTTTGTATTCAATAATATTGCGTGATTCCAGCGGCGATTAATGTCCACGTCAATGATCAATAACGCTGTACTATGAAGAAACATCATCCACGAGATGTTATTGACCGCAAAATAATTACGTAATAATACTGGCAGCAATCGAATAGCAAGGAGATCATAGGATGCGTGCAAGGGACGTTGGAGAAACTGGAGCATTCCTGGAATATTTTCGAGGACGTCACTTTCAAGGTAAATTCGGATGCGCATTGGATGCGCCCTAATGTCGTCGTCCAAATATACTTGACGTCATTTAACGTACCGCACGCACATTTGTCCTTAAAGAAATTTAATAGAAAACAGTAATTCATTTACTCATATTAAAAATACTATTGTTCAGTGATTTTTTACTCTAAATAAATAATGTCCAATAAATATTCAATAATGAAAATTACATATATTTTGAACATTAAAAGAACTAAATAATAGTGTTTTTAACATTCAAAATAAACTTTTCAATTTAAAAAAATACTGGAAATTATTTGTATTCTGAATAATAAAAACATTGAACGTCAATTTTTTTACTACTCAAAACAAGTAATTTCTATCTAATCTAATATACTGAAAGTTACTTATTTTGAATATTAAAGTATCGAACAGCAGCGTTTTTATTCAAAATAAGTATAATTTCCGGTATTAAATTGGCCAGTATTAAATTGAATAAGAAATTACGTATACTGAGTATTAAATTGGCCAACGTTAAATTGATTACTGTAAGGGCGGGATTTGTATTAAGGCTCTGATCGATCAGCGCGCTCATTAGGCTCGCGTGAATCTCAGGTAAATTTGCGCGCGTACCTGGACACACGCGTCGGCGTGTCCAGCGGAATTCGGAGCAATCGGACTGGCAGCGAACCGAAGAGAAAGAGAATGAAAACGGGATATTGTCGCAATCGCGCACCGCAACGCTGACGGACATATTCCTAGCGTCGTAATTGTGGAGAGAATTGCTCGATGCTAGTAAGAAGCAGCACGATGACACGTTACGGTCGTAATAACTGACGGCAAAAAAAAGCTACTCTCGTCGATTTTACGTCGCAAGACGGGAGACGTGGCGAGTTGTTCCGGTCACCAGTTGCACGACACACACACGCACCTCTTGTTGAAGGGTCGAACCCTCACGGCCACCTTCACCGATGCCATGGTCTCGCGGGAAGGAGCGCATCGGGCTCGAGACGAGGGAACGCGAGATGTGATCAACGCCACCGTCGTTTCTCCGCCGCAGCGACGGAGACGTGAAGGTGGTTTTTTTTGTTCGACGCGCAAAGTAGCGCAGCGCGTGCGGCGTCGCGTGGCCTATGGAAGACGCTGGCGTCCTCGTCGAGCCTCGAGCGCGCCCGGCAGCAGCGACATCGTCGACCCTCTTCCTCACACGCTCGTGACTCACGGACGACCGCGAGCGACTGCGAGTGCAACTGCTCTCTCTGCCCGACTGACTGCGTCGAACCACAGTCGAACCGACCGGAGCGAGCGGAGCGAGCGAGTCGAACGAGGACGTGCGCGCATGCGTGATATTCTCGCGTACCTAGGTCGCGAACGTCCGACAGGGCGAACCGTGGAAGATTCAAATTAATATTGAAATAAAGAGAAATTCATTAAAACAGCAGCAGTATGTCAAGGAAAATGCAATATACGTCACTAAATACGTAGTAAAAGGTATTTTATGTTTGTGTCAGAAACGGTCCATGTGAGTCCTTATTAAAATTTTTCACTCATGTTATTTTAATACTAAGCGATATTAAATGTCTATTTAAACGTTCAAATAATAATCACATTTTATTAAATTAACACTCGGATATGCTAGAAATTTTTAACACAAAAATTTTAATTGATTTAAACACAAACAAAATATATTTACTGTGATAAAAATAAAGAAGTAGGGAAGTGTGTCTTAATCTGGTTCCTTTTTAGAAACTTATGAATATCTCAATAATTTCTATTATTACATTAAGAAAAAGGTATTTAAAAATATGTTTGTAGGATACAATGTTTATTTCATTGAAATAAATCCTTATATTTAAGTAAAATAAAATTTTATTCTCTATAAATAAACCATCTTTTATCTTTATAGAAAAATAAAATAGATAAAATATCCATTTTTTACAATTAATAAGACAAATGTCACAAGTTATAAATAAAAAATCACAAGTAACATTTGCTTCTGAATATTTTTACTTTTTCTTAGTATATTCAGTTCAACATGTTCTCTATGAATTTTCTAGATATATAATTCCAGAAAGCAATATGGTCACCCTAGATACATCGTGATAAAACCTTGAATTCAATATTGGTATTAATGTATCTATCAGATAAAACGTTAAGTTCGATATCGATATCAGCACACCAGAATTCTCAGCGATTGCCCTAAGGAGAGAGTACTTAAATAGAAAAATCTACCGTTGATCGGGAACGTTCCTCAAAAGATCCACGGTTTTCCTTGAAACATCTTTGCGCATTCGCGACACAATGACGTCATCGGTGGTCGTTAGCACAGGCACAAGCGGAGAAGGCCGAGCCGTGCCACCCACGTCAGCGATCGCCGAATCGAATCGCTTTGCGGTTTTTCAAGCGCATAACGGCGGTCGCGGCGAGAATTCGCGTCATCGTCTTGTTGCCAAGCCCCAGGGAGGCAAAGCGAGCAGCGCAACTACCTGCTGACTTCTAAATAAAAAGTTGCAATGTGGTGCGAATGTCAGAGCGGAGTAAAAAATTTAAATCTCTTTGAAAGAATTAAGTTATTACAGGCCGTGTATAAATTACTATGAAAGTTAAAGAAACTTCTTTTTCATCTCAAGAGAGTAAAATAAACTTAATTCTTTATATAGAATCAGTTTATTACTCTTGAGATGAAAAAGGAAGAATTTGCTTTATATAGTTTATTAGTGTTTCAAACTGATTGGATTCAAGGTTATTGTTTTAAACCTTCAAAATTTGTCTGTAATACTAAAATCAGTTCTTTTATAAGAAATTTAGATGAAAACATTTATCTGAATAGAAAAGTATCTACGTTTCTTATTCACTAGAAAGGATCAAACAAATAAATTACTATGAAAATAGAGAAAGTGACAAAAACCAAAATGTATAAAGGATATTTAATTATTGATTAATTAAAAAATTATAAAATCTTTCTCTTATTTTTTATAAAACATATATATATTGATGAAAAAACAGAAACGATCAATAATGACCGCTCCTATATACAGAAAAGTATCGTTCTATTGCTAGAAAAAATGATTCATCGATTTATTTTCTTTCTTTTAAGTAACGGTTGTCTTTAATAAAGAATATTTTCTTCAGTAATGATAGATTAGGAGCATGAAAGTCAACGCTGAATGTTTTATGCGTAAACGATATATTGCGTATATATACAATATGTATTTTCCTGTGTAAATATATTTATCTTAGCAAAAAGACAAACAGTAAATTACTTGAAGAATTACATTAAATACGTGTTCATACATAGCGATCTGTAACCAATTGAATTGACATGCGTTTGTACACCGCACAAGTTGCAGATTCGTTTAAGCACAGCGCACTTCCGGAAGACTAAATACGGTCGCGGGATAATGATGATGGCTGCTTCGGTCCTGCCATTGACCGCGTAATATCGCTTATGCTAATATAGACACGCGTGCAGAAAGGAGTCAGACGAATCCCAACAATGGTGTCTAACAAAGGCGCTCGAAAGTCGGAGAACATAGATATAATATCAGAAGAACTTGTTTATTTATCGCAGAAAAGAAACGGAAGACGCCATCTTCCAAATCATTATACAATAATGTCATAATAATTCTTTCTTCGTATATTCTGGACTTACACATTATTCCTGAACTACTGATATCATTGTAAAAAAATTTTATATATTACATATCTCAAGAAAACGTATTTAAAATTATGGAATATAAAGAAATGCTTTTCAAAGAAAGAAACTTCTTTGTTTTCAAGAATAACTATAAAAGTATTATATGCAAAACTTTATTGCTTTTGTATTCATTCTTTTCATAAACTGTAATTATATTTTTAATAAAAATGGCGTAATTAATCTAGCCGATTATATATAATATATTCATCAGCAGTATCTAATACATACATGTACAGAATATTTTAAACACTCCGGATGTTCTTCCGGTTCTTCATATGTATCTAATGTAAGACAAATTTAACGTCGTTCTTCTTCGACAGTAAATTTCTAGGAAGAGGGCCACTTGGACCTTTCTCCGAACTCTTCCTTTTACAAAAAAAAAAAGCAGGTGCGGCAAGGATAATTTTAAGATATTTTTAAACAATCTGAATACATAAAATGCTTTGAAAATTCATAAAAATTTTGTTAAAATTAATAATCAATATTTTTTAATATCTTAAGCATTCCTTTATTTGAATTTATATATTTAAATTTGTATTAAAAATTTTTTTATTTATAATTAATATTTTTTAATATCATTTATGATGTACACAATATTATATATATATATATATATATATATATATATATAAAAAAACA